GATTCTTCGGTATTGAGTGTTGTCTTTTGTGGCGATAAGTCTTGAGTTTCTGTAGTTTATTAAATGGTTGTGTGAATTACGGTGATGTATACAGGCATTCCTTTGGGTCGTCAGACCGCTTGCGTATTGGTGTTCTGAAATACGTGTTTGGAGGTCTCTTGATTTTTCCCGCCCACATATAATTTGCTGCAGTCATTACAAGGGATTATGTATACCCCTGCAGAGGATGGAAGCTTGTCTTGTCTATTACTGGTAATGTCCTTGATGGTCGTGGTTGTGGAGGTAGATACCTGGAATGAGGTAATGGAAAAGATGTTGGAAACATGTTTGGCAATGGAGTTGGTGGGGAGGACTATGTATCTCTTTTCAGCAGTGTCTTCTCTGGGTGTGTTGAAGATGTTTAATGCCCGTCGTCTGCAGTCTCTGATGAAGTGATGAGGATAGTGGAGTTTAGAAAATACTTGTTCAATTATAGTGCATTCTTCCTCAAGGAACTCATTGCTGCAGATTCTGAGTGCGCGGAGGAAAAAGTCTATAATTACACCACGTTTAGTTTTGGTGTCGTGATGAGAGTAGAAGTGGAGAAGATCGTTTTGGTTGGTGGGTTTTCGATAGACTTTAAAACGAAGTTCATGGTCAGCTTTGCAGAGAAGAACATCAAGGAAAGGAAGAGCGTTGTCGGCTTCTTCAAATGTGAACTGGATTGAGGGCTCGACCTGGTTGAGCTTGTCTTGGAGAGCTTGAACGTTGAAGCGTCTGGGGGTTATGAGGAGAATGTCGTGAACATAAGGGACCCAGGTGACAGACGAAGGAATAATGGTGGAGAAACGCTGGGCTTCCAGATGTTCCATGTATAGGTTCGCCAGGACAGCACTGAGTAGTGAACCCATGGGTAGCCCAAAAGTCTGCTGAAAGAGGTGATTTTCAAAAGAGAAACATTTTAAGCCAACACAAATAGTTCAACAAGGTCGATGAAAATCGCTGGCTGGAATGGAAGATAAAGTGAATCATAAATTTTTTCCTGCGCAAGAGATCGATGGCTTGTGTAGTAGGTACTTTGGTGAATAGGGAAAGTTACGACAAGGCGGGAAAAGTTTCTTGTTCTGATGTTGATGTTGCGAATGCGATTGAGAAGATCACCCGAGTGTTTGAGATGTGCTGGACTGATAGTCCCCAAGAGTTCAGAGAGGTGTTTTGCAAGAATTCCTGAGAGTTGGTGGGGGGGCACTGCCTATTCCCAAAAAATATGGGCCTCAATGGGAAAGCAAGGTTGTGAGTTTTTGGCAGCCGTACATTCGGGGCAGGTCTGGAGTTGCTGGGTATGGTGTGCAAAAAGTTTTCTTCCTTATTCTGAGTCCCTCAGAATGCGGCGACCCCTTTGAAGAAATGTTTAGTGAGGTTGCCCCACTTGGTTAGTTGTGAGGGGTTTGTAGGTATCGGGGTCATTAAGTAGACTAAGCATTTTTTTCCTGTAATCAATAAAGGATCACATTATACTGCATATTTGTTTATATTTCCATTATGTCGGTATTTTATACCATTTATTTACATCAGTGATAAAAGCACGATAATCCTTCAGGGTACGCTGATGTGACCCCTTCGGACTAATACCACTACCCCCCCTCGCTTGCCCCATGCCTAACCTATCCCCCCCCCTTCAATTTCATTCAAAAGCCTGACCAAAAATCCCTCAACAGGTCCCAATGTGTCGTAAAAATTTCACAAAGAATCCCCTCCACTCCCGACGCCTTTCCCTTGCTCATTCCCGCTAATGCTCTTCAAATTTCCCATTCCTCAATGTCCCCCAATGCATTCTATCACCTTCCCAAGGGGTTTTCCCACACAGCCACCATTCTTCCAACAGCTTGCATCCACCCCTCGGGTACACCAGTAACGAGCATACCACCTATCAGCAAACATACCCATGCCCTCTGTCTTTCCTAAGCACCTGCCCCACCCAATAACCCTCTTCCTCGCCACACACCTCTACTGTGCTGAGTTGTTGCCCTCCTATGTTCTGTTGACCTCTAGGACGCAGGCCAATGGCCTGCGTCCTGACGCTGACTTTTGTTCACGGAGAAACATCACAGATGGTCAGTCTCCCCAAACAAATTCATCGATACCCGCCACAATTTGTGCCCCCCTGAAATAACTAATTTTCTAGTTCCGATATTTCCGCTTTCAGGGGGGGCAATTCGCTACTGGATACGCTGCACGTTTTCTCGTAACACGCACGCAATTGATGTCGTAAAAAATTTAACTTCCCATAACGCAACTGTATCGCTTCTTTACCCACCGCCCCCAAAAAAAAAATTAATACTGGTTTTGTAGATAAATGGTTCAGAGAACCGACACATTGATAAATTAACACATATGAAAACTCTTGGGTATCTTTATTGAGGAAACGTTTCTCCACACATTGACGAAACGTTTCCTCAATAAAGATACCCAAGAGTTGCACATGTGTCTAATTTTTTCAATAGGTTTTACCCAAACCCAATTA